CCGGGGTGTCCCGGGGAGGCTGCGGGGGCCGGGGTTGGGGTGGGGGCGCCCGCGGTCGCCGGCCCGGCCGCAGCTTCCCGCTGACACTGATCCCCCCCGGTTTCCCCCAGTGCTGTACTGTCCGGAGATAAAGGACCTGGCCCGCATGAGCCGCTGCACGCTGTGACCGCGGAGCCCAAAGCCGCGCGGAAGGAAGGTGGGCGCTGCATTCTCGGGGCGCGCTGGAGTGCAGGGGTGAGGCCAAGGCCACCCCGCGCCCGTCCGGGGATTGGCGCCGCTGCGGGAGTTGAGCCTAGGGCAGGAGGGGCCGCACTAGCGAATGGCCCCCGCACCCGGTGTACCGACTGGGCCAGCCTCGCGTCCTCGGGGGAGAGGCCCCGGGATGGTGGAGACGGGTCCGCATTCCCGTGGGAAGGACAGAGAGTGTGTCCTTAGCTGTGACTTTGGCTTTTGTCCAGGGCAGCTCTGGCCAGTGGGAACAATAGGACCCATTCTAGCAATTCTGTGTCAGTGGTTTGAAATTTTTTAAAAGCTAGAGCGGAAGGGAAGAGGCCGATTTTTGTGTCATGTTACTGTCACTTCTACGGCGTGTTAGAGAGCTGAGAAAAATAAACGTGTTTTTCTTTTTTTCCAGTGCTGGTATGCCTGTCTCCCCAGACCCGTAGTGTGTTCCTAAAATTATTGAGATGCCTCTGTGCCTCGCTTCATTTCACAATCTCCCGTCAACCTGTGAGGGCAGGTATCACAGGGTCCAAAGGGCATTCTTCTGAGCCACCTAATTAGGGCCCATCAGGGATAGGAAAGCCATTTGGTAAAGGCATTACATTTTAATCGTTTGATGTTTTTTGTCATCTTTACAATCACAGGGAGAACACTGTCACTACTGAAAAGATGCATATCATACAATTAAAATAATTATTTTTTTTAAGAGTGAGCACTCGAGGGGTCGGGAGGGACAGGAGAGGGAGAAAGAGGAGCTCAGGCAGGCTCTCCGCTGAGCCCGGAGCCTGACTAGGGGCTCGATCTCATGATCTGACCGACATCGTGACCAGAGCTGAAACCAAGAGTCAGAAGCTTAACCCACTCAGGCGCCCCTTATCGTACAGTTTTAAACTGTGCCCCCTAATTGGACATCGCCTACGGTATACCGTGGATTCTGTTTTAAAATCCTGTGACCGCCTTAGGATACGGTTGTAGGCAGGAGCTGCAGCATCACTGGGATTACACAACCTCAGGGGCCCACTTCAGACTCTTTTGAGTTTTAGCAAGAACCCCAGGTGATCTGCAGGCACGTAAACCTCGAAGCAGCGCTGACTGAGGTCCTAGACTTGCTAGGATGTCACCTTCCGTGGGTGGAATATTTAAAAATTGGTATAAAGGATATAAATTTTATTGGAAGTTGTGAAGGGACATTCTGTTACTGAAGAAATCTTTGTGTGCGTGGTTTAATTATTATGTGACATTTTCCTGAGTTAAGAATGTGAATTTATGAAATAGAAGCCTGTTTTTATAACCACATTTTGGCATTTTCCTGTGCTTGTCTCAGCTTAAATGTCTCCTCTTGCGGGAGGCCTTTCTCAGTGTTCCTGTGAGTGTAGCCCCCTCCCCACCAGGTGCTGTTCCAGAATGCCTTTGTTTTCCGAGAGGATGTGTCTTGTGAGTGTGAGCGCGGCAAGAACAGTGACTGCCTTGTGAGTGTTGTATGTCCAGGCCGAACAGTGGTGGTGAACATGTATGTGTCCTCAATAAACGTTTGTTGGATTTAGCTTTTCTTTTTTGATACGATCGCCTCAACGACAAAGCGTCTGGTCCCAACCCCTGAGAGGCTCTGGCAGTGAACACGTGTCAAGGAAGTACTGAGCAGTTCAAATCTTCAGCAAGCATGACTCCCCTCACCCCAACTTTAAAAAAAGTGGGGGGCTCTGCTTTCTACTCAGGACTGCACCTGCAGAGCTGTACTGACCTCTGCTGACTCTTGGGGGAACTAGGCAACTTGAAGGGGGAAAAGATCCAAAACGGATGAACGGGAGGCAGTTCAGAATCCTGCCAGGCACCCTCCCGCTTCACCTCTGTCCAGTAAGCCCCACCGGGTCTCTGCTCTCAACCTGAGGACTGTGTGGGTGTCCTGCGGCTCACCCTCCATCTCTACACTGGGTTCTTCACGTGGGGGTTGGGGCTGGAGAAAGAGCCTGGGAGTTTTAGTTGATGATCCAAGAAAAAAAAATAGGAAGTCACGAGATTAAAAAAAAGAGAAAGATGGATGACATGGAACGTCAGAAAGCAACACCCTCTCTTTCCTTAGCCCTCCCCCCCCACCAGAGAACTCCCACACTCAAAAATAACAGAGCACACAGAAAGGAAAGTATAATTTATATGTACAACCAATACACCTGATACAGAAGAGGGGGTTGGGACAGCCCAGGAGTGGGTGTGAAGAGCCCGGGAAAAGGGCAGCGAGGAAGTGAAGGAGCAGCGAAGAGGAAGTGGGGGGTTCGCCATGCAAACTGCCACTCTCCCCGGCCCTTCCTGGGGAGGAGGACATGCCCATGTCTCCCCAGCCTGCCCTCCACTATTTTGTTCTGGTCCCAAAGGCAAGGCAGCCCCCCGACTACACCCCTGCCTGATCCACTCAAACTCAGCCCGTATCTAGGCCTTCAGGAGGGAGGGTAGAAGTACTCCAAGAACCTGAGCCCCGGGTCTGGGGGCTCCCCCACTTCTGGCCTGTAGCATTTTCTCCCACCCTTTCTAGGTGACCCGGGTCCCTGGAACAGATTGGGGAGCTCCTCTTTGGCTTGAGGGAGTATCGCCCAACCATCACTCTCTTTGTGGGGGGGGTCCTTGGTCCCTAGGCAGAGGAGAAGACCCCCCAACACAAGATGCCGGTACGCAGGAGGTAACTGAGCCAGTGAGTGGCGCCTTTATTCTGAGGCTGAACAGCAATCGACTCCCTCCCTTGTAACTGCTCCACCCTCCTTTTGGGGAGAGGTAGGGGAAGGAAACATGCAGCACCCCCCTCCTCTTCCCTTCCTCCCTCTCTCAAGTCCCGCTCCTCTCTTGCAAGCCCTTCTCCCCACCACAGTCCCTAAAGGCCAGGCGAGGCTAATCCCCCCACTTCTGTGGATAGAGCTTGTATTGCAGGAGTGAAGACGGGGGAGGCTCCACCTCTTTCCGCCCCCCAACCACTTCTTGCGAAGCTGTGCACGTTCGGCGGGGGATGAAGATACTTGGAAGACCCTGCTTCACCGCCTCCCACCCAGACCTCTTCTCGCCAGCACGGTCTTCAAAGCGCGGTGGGAAAGGTGCACGGGAGTGGAGACAGACAAAGGGCCCTTCCTGGAGAGAGGAGTCGCAGAGAGGGGCAGTGGCTCCTAGCCCAGAGGCGGCCCGAGGGGTGGGGAAGGTGGAGGATTGGCAGCAGGTCCCAGAGCCTGAGCTGGGGGTCGGCCTCGGGCACGGGGCCTGGGTGACGCACAGGCCTGCGATCCGGTCAGTCGTCTATACAGATCACCTCCCCGGCTCGGGGCTCCTTCCGATCCAGCCCGTCTGACACCAGTGCCCCCACCATTTCCTTCTCCTTCTTCACCAGCACTGGAGGGCCGTTGGTGGTGGCTGTTCGGGAAGGGAGTAAGGAAGTGAACCCCGGCTTCGCTCCCAAACGTGGCCTCCTGACTGGAGCGTGCTACTGCTAGGTCACCTCCTGCCACTGCTAGTCCGTTCCCAGGGCAGCAGGGGTGGGAGCGGGGCGAGCCCCTGTGCCCAAGAGACCCCGAGACGCCCTGTGCCAGCTCTCACCATACCCCGCCTTCTGATCTCCCGATTCTCTTTCCCGGAGGTAACCCAGATGGGGGAGGCTGGGGAGCGAGCTACCTAGCCCCAGAGCCACTGACGCCCTTGGTAAGGGGGGGCCGGGCAGGGCCGAAGCTGGGAAGAGCAGGGGCGGGCGTCACCGGCTGACCTGTGACGAAGGAGCCTGCTGGCATCTGGCTGTAGTTGGCGCCTGCGGCGGCCAGGGCCCCGGCGGGGGCGGCGCTGAAGGCCGCCCCGTACCCCGGAGGCGTAGCGTAGGGCCCCGGGGGGAAGGCCTGGAAGAGAGAGCGAGCCCCCGTGAGCGGCCCCACAGTCCGCGATAGCAGCTGTAGGGGCAACGGCGGCCACGCTCCAGAACTCCCGACGGGGTCACATACAGGCAGGGAGACGCGAGGGTGAGGAGTGTGTCCCAGCAAGTCGTTTCTCCACACCGTCTAGAGCTGCCGGAAGCGTGTGTGTGGGGGCCGGAGAAGGGCCAGCAGGGACAACTGGAGTTAGGGGGAAAGAGGGTTACCGGTGTGGGGTGAGGCTCCGTGCCCTTGCTGGCCAGCCGGCTGAGGATGCTGCGCTCGGACATCTGCAGGCGGGCTGCGATGGGGGGTATTCGGGACAGCGTGGCCGGCAGGCGGGTCACGTCCGCCTTCATGTCGCTCAGCAACTCCTCCAGCTGGTTCAGAACTGGGGCCCGGGCCACGGAGAAAGAAGGGCAAGAGAAAGACAGGGAAAGGGAGAGATGGAGCCAGGAAACAACGAGGAGTCGGAGGGACAGACACAGTCAGAAAAAGAGAGAGGGAGAGGAAAGAGAGAGGAGGAGAGATAGGGAGGAAGAGAGGAGGATGGAGATTGTCAAAGAACCAGAGGCCAAGAAAATGACAGAAGGAGACAGAAAGAGCGACTCGGGGAGGTGGGGAGAGAAGAAGAGTCAGAGACCAGAGGAGCAGAGGACAGATGGAGAGGACAGGACACGGGAGGCGGGGGACATTGGGAGACATGGGGCGGAGGGTTGTCAGAACATCCCATACTCCAAGGGGGGCGTTTTGGGGGTGGGGATGGTGGGGAGGAAATAGGAGACGTGGGAGGCGGTAAGTACTGTCACAGATTTCAGGAATCAAGGTTTTCACATGTGAGGGGGAGGGAGATCAGAGGGTCAGCATCACAGACTCAGGGAATTAGAACAGGCCTCCGAGGGGCCAGGAATCAGTCACTAGTCAGACAGGATTAGATGGTTAGAGGGCTCTGGGTTCGAGTCTCTCATCATCAGGGGAAGCGGGTTTGGGAGAAAGGGCTGGAGGTCACAGGGAAGTTTCGGGGGGCAGGGTCACAGGGTGGGATGGGGGTGGTTCCTGCCTGGTGGGGCGAGCGAGACGGGCTGGGGGGGGACGTGACTATTGGGATGGGGGGGTAGGACTCTGGGCGACTATGCGCAGGCCACGGCCCCGGAGAGGGCACTATTAGCAGTATGGAAGGCGTTGTGGGTCAACGAAGAAGCTCCGCCCTGCGGAGGGGACGCGGCACGTCTCACGGAGTCTGGGCAAGGGGGGCAGGGCCCTCTGCTGGGCGCTGGTGTGAACGCTCTCAGGCACAGACGAGGGCCGGCGGGTGGGTCGGGGTGGGGCAGAGGTCAGAGGGGGGTGGTTCACAGGGTAAAGGGATCAGAGGGGTGGGAAGATTTGAGGGGTGCGGGGTGAAGACTTACGCAGCGTTGTGGGCCCTCCCCCGCGCGGGGCCGCCGCGGCCCTTACCCTTGTGCAGGACGGCGTTGGCCGGCTTGTTCCCCGCCAGCGACTCCTTGGAGAGGTGCTGGTGGCTCTCGGCCAGGCACTCGGCCTCGGCGAAGCGGGCGTGGAGGGCCATGGCGGGGTGCGCCGGCTCCTGCGATAGGTTCAGGTAGGCCGCCCGCCGAAGCTGCTCCTCGATCACCAGCGCCTGCTCCAGGAGCTGAGGGCCCGGGCGGAGGGGGAGTGTGGGCATCTGCCAGCAGCGGGGCCAGCGGACGGGGCGTGCCGGGAGGGGGGACCCACACTGCCCTCCCTGCCCGCCCAGAGCACCCCAGCCTCACACCATACCGGGGGTGGGCCCGGCACTGACCCCGACGCACCCCGCCCTTGGCCTCAAGCACCGCTGTCACCCTCGAGGCGTCAGCCTTCGCCACATTCCGATCACACCTGGTCCCCTCCCTGACCCAAGCCCCTCTTCAACGCTGTCCCTTCTCTCCCGGATCCCCACCTTGAATCTCCGGGCCAGGAACTTATTTTTCATCTCCAGAAAGTTCCCCTTATTGGCTTCCGTTTTAAACGGCTCGTTGATGATGGCAAACTGAGCGTCATTCTGGATGTCCTGCCACCGTGCGTAACCGTGGCTGCAACGCAGGGAGGGGCCGTCAAGGAATTTAACGGGGAGGCGCTGCATTATCCACACACACTTCCTCTTGGCCCCATCTCCCCAGAGTGGGGTACGACCCCCCCCCCTTCCCTGGGTGTGGACTCGTCCCCTCTCCAGGTTGAGAAAACCACTTTTTTCTTGCATTTGTATCTAAGGATACAGGACAATCCCGGCCAGGAGCCAATAGTCATGTCTTCGGTGCCAGATCTCATTGAGTTTCCCCGAGGAAATGGCTGCCCGTTCCTCATTCTGCCACAGCGTGTGAAGCTCTGAAAAGCGGGCCGAAGAGAGAGATGGGGCATCAGGAGTTTGGGAACCGGGGCCAACTCAACAGATGAGCAGAGATGAGGGACCAGAGAGCGGGGAGAGGACCAAGGGCTCTTTAGGAGGAAGGGAGAAAGGTAGGTTCGCGGTGAGGAGCAAAAGCAGTTACAAACAAAGCTCAAGTTCGGACCAGGAATAAAGGGGGGATTAAAGAGGACTCTGAAGTTAGGAGTGCGGCCAAGGAGGATCCCCGCCCCACCCGCGACTTGGCACGAGGCACCACACCACAAGAAGGCCCGGGAGGGCGAGCAT